CAGAGAGAGAGAAGATATATATATATATAGATAGATAGATAGATAGATAGACAGATAGATAGATAGATAGATAGATAGATAGATAGATTGATAGATGCAATTTTGCTAGCCCCTGGCCAGTCAGGCTGAGCAGCGGTGGTCAGGGCCAGCACTACGCAGCCATGCTGTTTTAGATAGGGTGTGAATCACCACACTGCAGGTTCACAGACCATCATGAGCCCTCACAGCCCCAATAAAAAAAAGGAAGATCTGTCACAGCCAGAAAATACAATCCAGAGACCAGACGCACTGCTCCACTAGAGGTACGGCATGGCTGCATCGCTACAGCCCCGACCAAGCCAGACTCTGCTTTAATTTTCCTTCATCACAGATACAGGGTATCGGTTGTGGGATAGTCGTTGATGCTCAACCGCATCTGGAGCTAGGTAGGGGGAATCATAACTTTTCACCGGTTGGGGAACTCTGCAGACTGTATGGGGTTCAGCCTCCTGATGTGTCGGTGGAACTTCAACGAAACAGTGTCACACAGTCAGGTGAACCGTAGGGAGAAAGGGAGACAAGGACAAGAAACAGTGGGCTGTGACAGACTGTTTTAACTTAGTTTTAGTTCCACCAACTCGTCAGGAGGCCGAATCCTACACGGACTACAGAGTCCCCTAACCTATGATACGGCGAGTGACAATCCACCTTAACCCCTGTTTCGTATAGGCACTGCCCCACAACTGCTACCCTGGGGTGGGCACCAACCACTGCCCTTGAGGGTACCTGCGACGAAAATTAAAGCAGAGAATCACCCACTCACACACTTCCTCTGGAGATTATGAACTGAATGTGCAAAAAGTGAACAGCTTTGTGGTTATGATAACAACTGAAGCGGTTGGGGATAATTGCAATCAGACTCGACTTATTCACACGTGAACAGCAGCAGACAAACTGGCGACATGCGCCCACACAGTACTCAGAGATATCGCAACCAGATAAGAGTTCTCCTTCAGTTGGCTATGGCGGCTGTGCACCCAAACAACTCACTGTTCACACTCTGGATCACCCTGGATGTCCCACGCCCATCACTCTGAACACCCACACAGTACACACACACTCAATCTATACTAAGCTATGTCAGCTATTGCTGCTGCTACCTATCGCTATGGCTATCCTGCTCCACTCTCGCCCACTTCGTCTTCGGGCCTTCAGCAGACCTCCTTGCACAAGACGCTGAAGCAGCACTTCCGCATGGCTTCCGCATGAATGAATGAATGGCTGGACGCAGCCTCTTGATTTATACTTCTGTGCCTCGCTGGTCTGCCCTGTGTCCCCTGGCCCACGGTGCACACAGTYCCAGACGGTACTTGCTTGACTGGACCGGACTGGGTGGACTGGGRCTGCTGACTGTACGAGGTGGACTGCCACCACTTGACCACTTGCCTCTGTCTAACGTAGGCTGACTCCGAAAGGCCACTTCTAGAACTCTCTGTTTTGGCCTTTCGGTATTGTAGCAGCTACGACTTTGCCCTTTCAGGAAAGTAGCAGCTACGAGCCTTGACCCTTCGGACAGTCTACAGCTACGACCTCTAGACTGTCTAGACTCCTACCCGACAGGTCTATAGTTCGAATCTCTTCTACCCTGTAACCTACGAAATCCTACCTACCACTRGYGGTCCTACAGGTCGCAGGTTCAAATCTACGGGTTGACACCGGTACTGTACACAGGTAAGATGGGGAACTAGGGATCGAGCCCTGGGATCTGCATCAGCTACTGCGAACTGGTGAATACCGTTTCACTCCCACCGTCCTAAATTCGAGATTCTCCGAGAAAATTTCAGTCCAAGGACGGACCTTTACCTCTCTGTTGCCTCTCGTAGGCCCGGACTATATCGGGAGCTGTCTCTAGAAGTTCAGATCTCGTAAACCAGCGGTCGCCTTCCGGTTCTTGATAACTAAAATGAACCTTGTACTGTTTCTGTGGATGACCCCTACCTCCAGTCCTGAAGACATCTTCAGCCACTATACCATCGATGTCATATCTTCCATCCATATCCGGTGGGATCATCGACCTACGGGATGGAAACTGATCACTTGTTTGACAAGGTAGCAACTTCGATGCATGGAAAACTGGGTAAGTGTGGAGGTGTGCTGGGAGTTCTATGGTGTAGGACGACCCATCTTCTCCGCCTTTGACTTCCAAGACTGGCCACGGTCCTCTATAGGTGGGCAGTAACTTTTGCGAGATGTTCTCCTCAAGGGCAAACTCTTTAGAACTGACCCAAACTAAGTCACCTACTTGAAACTGTGAGGGGCAACGATGCTTGTTGGCTTGCTCTATCATCTTATGTTGGGCCCTCCTAAGGTTTTCTACAACAGTAGCTAGTTCTTTTTCGTGTTGCATAGCAAACTCCCTGGTCCCGGGTGGCAATCTGTGAATCTGATCCCAGTTGAGTCCTTCAAATGGTCTACGGGGCCTAAAGGACTTGTGCAGTTCGTTGGGAGTGCGGCAGGTGGACAGATGCACGCTATTATTGTACGCACTAGCTACTTTAGGCAGCATCTCATCCCTGTTAATCTGATCTGGCCTAATRTACATGCGCAGAACTTGCTGTAGGATCTTGTTCATCTGCTCTGTCCGACCGTTAGTCTCAGGATGGCCGCCGGACGACATCAACAACTTAGATCCATACACTCTCATGAGTTCTTGCCAATTCTGGCTGGTGAAACGACTATCTCTATCGCTAACTATTGACAGTGGGATTCCATTCTCACTCACCCAACAGTCAAAAAACTTCTGTATGACTAAATCAGTACGTGCCTCTGAAGGCAAAGGAACAAAAACTGCGTACTTACTAAAACGGTCAACTATGACCATGACTTGGCTCTTGCCATGCCTGCTCTTGACCCGAGTGTCCATGAAGTCCATGGACACTGAGTCTCCCGGCTGATCCGGAATGGGCAAGGGTCTGAGAAGACCTAACGGGGCACGCATAGAAGTCTTGTTACGCTGGCAGACTTTACAAGTGCGAACATACTCCACGCAATCATTCTTCATTCCTGGCTAGGTATATGCGCGCATCAGATTGGCTGAAGTCTTCTGCCAACCAAAATGACCCTCTGTGTCGTGGCATTCTCCCAAAATCAAACTACGGATCTCTTCACTATTGGGAATGCATAGGCGGTCAAATACATTAGTCTTCTAAAAAAGCAACCCTTCCGTAGTGCGGTAGTTTGGCTCAGTCTCTGGGGTCTCCTTGACCTTCTTGAGGAGGTCACCATAGATAGGGTTCTGTGCATAGGCTTCTCTAATATTCTGCTGCAGATCCTTCCCTATGTCTAAGTAATGCACTATTGCCCCAAAGTAATCAGCTCTCCTACTCAGAGCATCCGCAACTACGTTAAACTTCCCCTTGACTGGCTTGAGCTCAAAGTCATATTGATCTATCTCTGCGGCCCACCTAGTAAGCTTAGGTGTCATCTTGGCCTGCATCTTTAACCATCTTAATGTCTCATGATCGGAATAGACTTTGAAGTGCCTCCCAAGCAAGTAGTGCTTCCAGTGTTCTAAGGCTTGCCTGAGAGCGTAGAGTTCCCTCTCATAGGTTCGCGACCTTCTCTGAAGGCATCCTGAACTCTACGGGTCTATAACCGTTGCCATCGTCTTGCTGCAACACCGCGCCTATGCCGTATTGGCTAACATCCGTAGTGACGACAAAGGGCAAGGACGGATCGACTACCTTAAGGACCGGGTACTCTATCAATACCTGCTTTAACTTCTTCATGGCAGACGTGCAGTCCTTTTCCCACTTCCAAATGGTCTCTTTCCTCAACAATCTGCGAAGGAGCGCAGCGATGGTGGAGAAGTTCCTCACAAACTTCCTGTAGTACTTAGCTAAGCCCTGGAACGAGCGCAACTCTGTTAGTGTACGTGGCGCGGGCCAATCTCTAATCGCTGCGATTTTACAATCTTCTGGTTTAACGCCGTTTCCGTCTAAGACGTGGCCTAGGTATAAAACTTGGGTCTTTGCCCAATCGCACTTCTTTGCATTGATCTTGAAGTTAGCTTCCCTCAGCTTCTCCAAGACCTGCCTGAGATGACCCTGGTGTTCTTGGAGGGTCTTACTAAACACTAGAATATCATCTAAGTAGACAACAACAAATCTATCTAACCATGACCTAAACAAATCGTTCATGCATCGCTGGAACGTAGCTGGCGCATTGGTTAGTCCGAAGGGCATCACTATGAACTCATAGTGCCCATATCTAGTCCAGAAGGTTGTCTTATACTGATCATCAGGATGTACTTCTATTTGATGATATCCGGACTTCAAATCTATCTTAGAGAAATACTTTGCCCCCTGCACTCGATCTAAGAGATCGTCTATCCTCGGCTGTGGCTCAACATTCTTCACTGTAATCGCATTCAGACCACTATAGTCTATGCACATCTCAGCTCTCCCTCTTTCTTGGGAACAAAGAGAACAGGCGCTCCAAAAGGAGACGAACTGGGCCTAATCCAACCCTTTTCGAGGAGCTCGTCTAATTGCTTGCGAAGCTCCTCTAGCTCCCGTGGGGACATCCTATACACAGTGCCCTTAGGAGTTCTACTGCCAGGCTCTATCTCAATGCGGTGCTGGATGGGCCGCGGTACCACTCCTATCGGCGGCTCAGTTAGGTCCTTGAACTCTTCCAGCAGCTTGGCAATCGCAGGGTCCATCGGCTTTTCTTCCGTAGGCCCAGTCACTCGCCTAACATAGGCAACAAAAACCTGTTCCTCCAACTTCTCCTTTTTCACTAATCTGGCGAACGCAGGAGCACTAAGGCAGCAATGTGCCAAGGGATTCTCTACCCCTGACACATGGAACAGGCGGGCAGTCTTGGCCTCGCCTGAAGAACTAGGGAGCCTACACTCGTGCTCCTTCAAATGGAGCGTGGCCCCGGCTGCCTCTCCCCAATCCATCCCCAGAACAATATCAAATGGGAGGCTGTTTTCTACGAGGAGAGTCAGGGAGTGGAGAACCTTCTCCACTTTCCCATCTTTCTCTAGGCGGAAATACGCCTGGACTCCCTCTACGTAATCCTCTACAACCATAGTACGATTGTCCGCGAGGATACTAACTATGGGGTCAGTTAGTTTCTGGACTTCCCAGCTTCAGTTTCTGCAGCGCTTTCTTACTAATATAGCTGCGGGTGCCCCCTGCGTCTACTAGGGCCCCTACTCTACCTCTAAAAATCTCTGTATCTAGTAATATAAGTTATCCTTTATTCTTTTTCTTCATCTTGGCCCATGCGGGCACCCTCTCCTTCAATTCATCAGCCACGCCTGTGAGGGAGGTGTCTAGAGAGACTCTCACACAAACAGTCTCTGGACAGCGATCTAGACACCGGCCTGCAACCTCTGCCATAGGCACATGTGGTATGGGAGTCTCTTGCTGGATAGCGCTATGTTCCCCACATGGCCTCATGGTAGGGGCAGTTGCTACCCCTACCGGCGGCTGCCTTTTGGTCCTTGAGCAGCCGTCCGGGCCTCTCTATACTTGGGACTGTATTTGATGATATGGCCCGGGTCACCGCAGAAAATGCACTGGCCCCGGTCCAATCGTTTTTGCCATAAGTCCTGGTCCAGACCCAAACTTTCCCAAGGCCTACCCTGAGGAAGCCCTGGGTGCCATCCTCCTACTCTATAGGGAGACCTGTTCCTAGGACGGTTTTGCGGGGGGCCTTGACCCCTTCCTCCCGCTTGGCGGTTTCCTCCTCTGCCGCCAACCCCCTGATCGCCCTGGAACCGGCTCCCTGAGGCCCAGCCCCCTTGGCCCTGGCCTCGTCCTCCTCCTTGCGGCCTCCCTCCAGCCGCGACAGCAGCGTAAGTTCTCCCCTGGCCCACACCGCTGTCCTCCTCCTCTAACCCCCACTCAATCTGATTGTAGGGGATCTCATCCACACTACCCTCATCTAAAGTTAGGACAAGACTATCCTTAGTCTTCACCTGCCCAGAGATAGTGCGGCCCTTTCATTGCTTTCCCTTATCCAATTCTTTGTGCCAGAAGGTGGAGAGACACATATTTTGCCTCAAAGGCCACCACCTCACGGCCAAGGGAATCGTAGGTGGTGGCAGGGTCTTCGCTCTTCGCGAAGAAGTGCCCGCGAAAAGCTTCGGGCATCACTCTATAGAAGAGGGCAACCAACTGGGTGTCTGTAACCCCGTGGTCAGGGACAGCTACTAATTCGTCCATTATGCTCTCTAGTGCCCTGGCACTCTTCCACTTACGAGCATGGATCGTCTGGAGCTTATCTGAGGCCTTGACACTGCGAGCAACATCTGCAAATCGCTCGCGCATCAATTTCATGAACTCAGCGAGGGGAGTGAATGACGAATACGCAACTGCATCATCATTGCAGTCGGCGGCGCGAACCAGGGACCTTGCAAAGTTGGCAGCTTCGTCTCTGAGCGCATGGATCGCAATCAAGACATGCTGATCCGGGGAGACCTGTTGCAGGTGCACATAGGTCTTGACNTGGCAGCTTCGTCTCTGAGCGCATGGATCGCAATCAAGACATGCTGATCCGGGGAGACCTGTTGCAGGTGCACATAGGTCTTGACATTGGCCTCCCAATTGTCAAAGTTTTCTTCCCTCCTTCCAGTGTAGGAATCAGGGAACTTAACTTTGACTGGCTCCCTATGAGGACGCGGCTCGCCCTCCTTGGGAGCTGCCACCTTGACGCCTTCGATGGCGCCAACACAAAAACGCTCTGTCTTCTCGAGGCGATGATTCACCTCGGCTCCTACAGCTCCTACCAATTCGCGTGCAAAGTCCCGGAACCCCGTCCGCATCGAACGCACAGCTATGTCCTGACTTCGGCTAAACTCGTATTGTTGTTCTTGTACTTTCGCTAAACGCTCGACGCTCTGGGCAATTATATCCACCTTTTGTTGGAGTTCTACCTGGGGGGTCAATCGTAGAGTTAGTTTTTGCACCTCCTCCAACTCTTTAACCGCCTCACTTGCCGCCTCCACTCTTCTTTTCTTCTCCCTCATCATTGCGAGTTTCCACACCATCCTCGTTTCATCTTCCATCGCCTGCCGCTTCAGATCATCTTTTTCTTCTTCCCATTTTTTCATAGCGGCTTCCTGCTCATCCTTGGGGATATACATAGTTACCTCTTCGTCTTCACCCAGGGATAAGTTGGCGACCCACTCCGAAATCCGTTTCGCCATCTCTTCATCTTTGCTGCCACCGTGCTGCCCCCTCTTCCTTTGCAGTGGCATTTCATCTTCCTCTTCTTCCTCTTCCACCTCTTTCAACTTCTCCTCTTCTTCTTTCTTTACTCTCTCCTTCTCCCTGGCCATCTCTTCCTCTTCTTCCTCTTCCACCTCTTTCAGCTTCTCCTCTTCTTCTTTCTTTATTCTCTCCTTCTCCCTGGCCATCTCTTCCTCTATCTTCTTCAGCTTGGCCGCCTGCTCCTCCTGTAGGGCCTTCTTCTTGGCCTCTTTCTTCTCCTTTCTTYCCCTCAGGACGRCGRCCATCTTCTCCTCCTCCTCCTTCGTGTAAGGTTGGGTGGAAGTACCACCCCGAGTCCCTACTCTACACGTGAAAGTGGGCCAAAAGCCCAGAGGAAAGAGGAGACGCCATAGGGTCCCCTAGAGGGAGAACACCACAAGCAGCCCATACATCGGATAGTCATCCATCGTGGTATCAGGTGCACGACAAGAGTCCCACTCATTACTACTTAGACCTACCCGGACACTGACCTACTGACTGACTCTCTAAGCTCACTACTCAAAACTACTCTAAGGCTGTCACTACTGAACCAATAGCTGATCAGGAGGCATTTAAGGAGATCCCCCAAACTCCGCAAGAATTCTTTAACGTTGCAGTCAGGACGACGTGATCAGCGTGGTTCTTCCTGGCGATTTCAGCCCACAACTCAGCCGTTCCGGCCTACTGTGCCACACCGAGCAGCCCGCCGGTCTGTACCTGTCCTTGGAGGGGTTCGTACCCCTCGGGACAGTCGAGTCGTCAGACACAGATCATCAGCCTTACTAGGTCCGGAAGGGGAGTGGTTCAACCAGGCCTCAACACTTAAAGACGACCTTCGTTTCAACCCACAGCTCGGAGTTCGGACCCTCTACACTGAAACTGAGTAGACCTGCCGGACAGTACCGGTCATTGGGCTAGACGAGTTGTTTAACGAGCGCTCGCCGCTCATGCCCAGGTCTCCAGATGCCAGAGTAGAGATTAGTTCTACTAAGTCCCGTGCAGGTTTGGCAGCAAGGCCCTATCCTTCATCCACAGAGTCCTAAAACCTAGGACAGAAGAGACTCAATGCAGAAAGAGTAGACAGACAGACTCGGCAAGTACCGTGGGGTAGGTGCACATCCACAGGGTAAGGGGATAGGCTAAGGGCTCAGCGAGACATCACCAACTCCAGCTTGGTCAAAATCTTGGGCAGCAGCTCTGGTCAACGCCTTGGTCAACGCCTGGTCAACGCGGACAACCCCCAGTCAACGCTTGGTCAACACCCTTGGTCAACGCCCTGGTCAACCCTCTGGTCAACCCTCGGTCAACCCTTCACCTCGGCTATGGCTGCCGGCACCTTCACCTTCGTCACCCTCGCCGTTTACTTCCCCTTCCTTCACCTTCTTCCTCCTTGCTGTCTTTCTTCTTCTATCTCTTTTTTTTTTTTTTTTTTTTTTT